CAATCAACGTATTTTCTGTTAATCCTTTGATGACTAGGAACGATCCGTTGATTTACAAAAAAAGTAAATCAACTGATCATTCATCTCTTGCTGGGCTGCCACGTGCATATTACATAACACACATTTCACCTCACTTCAAACCTGGATTTAGATTGAATAATTACCCCAGAAACAATAAATGCCAAATGGGAACCTTTGTCAGGTAATATAAGTGGTGCTACCACTAATTGTACCTGTAATAAATTCATTAACTGAGCATCAAGTGAATGACGACAAATACACAAGTGTAGGGTTATACGAGAAAACGTGGATGACAACAAGGGAGTAGTAATCGTATTATCGACGCAAGCCGAAATCCGAAAATGCTTTCACTGCATGGATACTGTTTTTAGTCTTAAACTATAACCATCTGGGGTATTTCCAAATGACGACATCCGATGAGCTCCCTTGTTCTTTTTGTCTGTTTGTTTAGGCTGAAGAAATGAATTAACATGCGCCCTTTGTCGAAATCTTTATAGATCACAGTTAACCAATCAGTGTTCAAAAATGCGTAAAACAAATATTGCCTCCAGCCTCCAAGTGTATTTAGCTGTCCTTGCAGACGGTAGCCCAGTCTCTGGTCACGCTCAGTTGCGTTGCGTATCATCCGGGTACTCACGGGGTGAAAAACAATAACAAAGGCAACAACCAGTCCGTTAGATCAGTGCCCCTTTAAGTGACATTTGTGAAAGCCATTCCTTCCAATCTACAGGATGAACATTTTGCCCTGAACAAGAACATGCTTGTTTTAGATGACCTGATGTCCAAAACAAAAGCATCTTCCCAAAGCAAGGGCGTTAACTGACTATAAGTGTTGCCCGACTAGGCTTGAATTACGGAGTTATATTTTGGCTGGATTAACGAGTCTATGCATAGTCCAATCAAAATCGCGTAACGAAATCGACATCCGGTCCGTAAACCGCCGTAAATCGGTCGATTGCAAGATTTGTAAAGCATGTGTACCGCTAACTCTGCGACAACGGATATTTTCCAAATGTTTTCTTGTTTTTAATCAAGGTGCTCACGTGATTTGAAGCACTTCGCGAAGAAAGACCCGTTACATTACAACATAGAATTTGCATGATTATCAATCAGATCCTTATGACTGGACGCCGCCATTTTGTTTGAAGCAAATGCAAGTGACATGAGAGGTGGAATCTGATTGGTCAGTAGAAGGGGCATAGAAGGAACATAATTCGTAATAGCCACCGGTGGCTCTACGATCGAGCCAAGAAATTCCATCCTAGTTCGGCAAGGGTGGAAACTGGACTTTTATAGTCAGTTAACTCTCTTGCCCCGGGAAGATGAAACAAAAGATAAAAAGCGCACCTCCCATCACAAAAATGTGATTAATGTTCTGCTATTGCAAACCTGTTTCCTAAAGGTAGAGTCACGTGACATTGCTCTGGACTCTCATTATGTGACTATTCAGTTCTCAAGTCGGTGAACAACAGGTGAACGTATTTGCAAGACGCATTTATACCCAACACCCCGATCAATTCATGTCAGTATACGAAGCAGTGCAACAACCCTTATGGGAATCTAATCCGAATCTAACTGTAGCCCTGAAGCCTTACAGTTGTGAAAAGAAACGACTACATATCATATTTAACACTATTTTAACAATAGGTCTGAACAAAAAACAGACTAATCCATCAACACAACTCGATCCCCCCCCCCCCCCCCCCCCAACAACAGTGCTGTAAAAACGCTGATTCAACCAAGTAGCACTCAGCTGCATGACATCTCACACCAACATCACTACACGACATCATCACGTGAGACAAGCGCTCATACAAGCAAAAACGTCAACGGTGATAATTTTGATGACACAGCGAGCGATTCTTCTGACCACGACACAAGTTCCCACGTCATGGCTACTGTTTGTACCGATTGTGGAGTCTTGATAGGCAACATGCAAAGCCTACACATAACACAAGGACGTGGTGCCCCGAGAACAAATGTCCATGAACAGTAACATCATGTCTATGAACAAGCACCAATCTGATCTCCTTAACTTAAGCAAACTATTGAAATCAAGATGGCGACTTTCAACCACCAAGTCTACAGAAACCAAAAGACGTCGTCACATGCATTGACTGACGGAAGCCCAACGCAACAACGTAATCATCTTCAGCGGTAGCCAAGTTTTGTTTTCACGTAGCAACAAGCACCATTACAAGAACCATTATCAGACACACGGGACAACACGTGACCTTCCCTCATCCGGACGACCACATATCACTACTAAAACACAGGACAGAGTCATACGGCTACATCACTTACATGGAAGAACCACCACGGCCACCTCTACAACTACGGCAACACTAGGATTGCGTAGAATATCAGCCCAGGCAGTACATGGAACCGTTTACGCGCTGAAGGTATTCTGGCCAGATGACCTGTTCAAGGTGTCATTTTGAGGAACCTGCATCGTCGGCTGCGACGTCAATGGTGTCAAGGTCCCAGAGTATGGCCACATCTGCGATGGAGACAAGTTTGGTTTAGGGACGAGAAATGTTTTATGCTTTGCCGTGCGGATACCAGACGTCGTGTGTAGAGGCGTCGCGGGGAACGTTATGCACGAAACTGCATTCAGGAAGTGGACAGATTTGGTGGTGGTGGTGTTATGATGTGGTCAGCCAGGCATCCCCTACACTGGTAGAACAGACTTAGTGCAAGTTCTCGGGAATTTACGGCACAACGTTACACGTCCTTCCCATTATGCATCAAGCGAAAGACATTTTCCAACAGGACCACGGCCTGTTTCAGGAATCACAACATCCAGGTCCTGTCATGGCCCTCCAGGTCTCCAGATTTAAACCCAATCAAACTTTTATGGGATGCACTGGCTCAACGACTACGAGCACGTCAGCAAAAACCTCCGACAGTTGGCACAAGCACTGCAGGCAGAGTGGGTGAACACTCCCCAGGCCATAATTCGGGATCTGATTGGTTCCATGGGACGATGATGCCAGTCAGTTTTGGACTTTAATGGTGGCCATACCTTGACAATCTACTGTTCCATGTGTGCCACATGGTAAATGGGTCAATGACAATGATGTGTGCTAATCTTTGAACAATCGATTACCATCAGTTGATTATTTATATGATATATAAATATCTGAAATCTTAAATGCGTTTATTTTGCAGAGTGTTTATTCTAAAAAATTCAACTATGGAGAAGTATTTTTTGATTGCTGAAAATTGCTGTTGATAAAAACAACTGGTATAGTTTCTCTTCCCAATGAGTGTGATAAGCGATGAAGCCGATGAACACGTATATAGTTTGTATTTGTTCTTTATTCGGAATAGTGCCGCTTTATATTGTCCAAGATAGGGGTAATTAGCTCTTCTACTTCACGATGTTTCACCAAGTGGCTGTACTCCCTCAGCTTGATACATTGTAACTTGCTAATCCACACTCCAGGTCGATATTGAATATTGAATAGATATCGTTTGTATCTCATAATTGGTCATAATGTCTTAATTGTTTTCCTAAATTCAATATTCCATTTTCTCCCATGGATTATCGACATTCTGTCTCTTAGTGCTCCTAGGGCATACCTGATGAATCGTTTCATCTCCATACAAACAAACGAATGATACTAATTATATCACTTTCTGTATTGGTCTAGAACACGCTTTCAGGGAAGATCCTCACCCCTTTATCATGGCGAAGGAACTGAAAACAAACCATCTCCTACACGTCAGTTATACACCAGAACATATGCTGAGATCAAAAGATATCGAAACAATGTCACGGCCACGTGTGATGACACTGGCGTCAGAGCGAATTGTTCGGTTGTCCTATGTGAAAACCTATACACTGAATACTTTACACTTCAGTTCAAGAGTACGATGCCCTTGAATGCTGATCTATTACGTTGTGTTAGATGGACGACATATACGTTCTACAATACTCGCCTACAATAATCGACATCCGGTTCAGACTTCGGGATTTGCAAAGCGTGTGTACCGCCAACTCGGTGTCAGCTGATATTGTCAGCTGATATTGTCGCGAAGTAAGACCCGTTTCATCACAAGACAAATTTTGATTATCGTTCAGGTCGTTCCACTAGGCTCCGCCATTGTGTTTGAAGCAAATGCATGATACGAGAGGTGGAACCTGATTGGTCAGTAGGGGAGGGGACATAGAAGGCATATAACTCGTAATAGCCACTGGTGACGATCGAGCCCAGAAATTCCAGCATAGTTCGGCAAGGGTGGAAACTGGACTTTTACAGTCAGTTAACTCGCTTGCCCTGGGAAGATGTGGATTGGGGAATAAAACAAGTTCAATGAGCGTAATGCATGGTCGAACGAATTGTTTTCTAAAAAACCCAAACCCAAACCAAATGAGAAAAGGTAATTAAAATTACCATATCCTTTACAACTGCGGTAACGCATGAAGACAGTAAAACACAGCACAGCCTATAATCACTTCTCTCATATAATCTATGATGGTGTAGGCAGATTTAAACTCATTCTTTGCAAATATAAATAGTGACATTCCCGAGGTGCTGAAACAGGTAAATGTCCGACGTCATAAACGTTCTTTGATATCTTGATCTGTCAATTGACCTGGCAACAGTGTCAATATATTCTGAAAATCCATTTTCACTGATCGCTGGAAACATTCACTGTTACAGTAAATAGGACGCAAATAAAGAAGTATTAAACACGAGTCCTTTCATGCATCGTTGTATGTATAATTGGTGTAGGTCCATCGTACAACACTACAGTCTGAAAGTATTCAAAGCCGGTGCATTACCCTCACGCTCCATCGAATCACCACTGTGCGGATCACCACCTGCTTCAGGCTGGCGCTATTGAGTCTTCATCGAGGTGGCATCATTATTTGTCATACTTAATAACACTCATTTCCGTCCGACTGAATCGATACCACCCGTGAGATTGGAAAGGTAACTCATAAAAATAGATACAATTTGCATACAGATACAAAGTGGTTGGGGACCCATTCTGGATTGGTTGACAGTGATGACATTTAATTCCTCACTGCATTATCAGTTGCAGTTGGCAACTAGCCCTGGGTAAGTCTGTATTTCCATCTTAGTATGTCTTTTTGTAACTTGGTCATACGAAACAGAAGTCATTATCACCAGTCTATCAATTTTGATCGTATTAAATGACTATAAATTTGAATCTTGGTTTGTCAGCATCATACCCTTTCTGTTGGGATCCATCAGAGTGGTGACCCGTCGAGTTCCGGGGTTGAATAGGTCTTCAGCAACCCAATCGCATGCTTGCCGTAAGAGGTGACTATGATCGTCGTAAGAGGCGACTAACGGGATCAGGTGGTCAGGCTCGCCGACTTGGTTGATGCATGTCATCATATCCCAATTGCGTAGATCGATTCTCATGATGTCAGTCACTTGATTGTCTGGTCCAGACTCGAATATTAACAAACCGATGACATATCGCTGGAATATTGCTGAGTGCGGCGTTAAACAACAAATAAAGTGATGACGTATACGACCTCTACCACTTTGGTTTAAACATATTTGTATTTGTGCGATTGATATGGATTGAAGTTTTTCAAAATTTTCAAATAAAAATGTCTTAAGATAGTATCCATTATAATGATTTGGACATACAAATATATAATGAATGGTATCTTCGCAAGTACAGCCACAAGAGCAGCTTGAATCATTTGAAATAAATCTATCAGCTTTGCGTAAATTGAGATCACTACATGTATTACTTGGCGGAATCTGTTCTAAAGTTTATGTCAAATCCAAAATTGATCTTGTGTCTCAATTTAAGCGTGATCTGGTCTGTGAAACTACTTAACGATTGTATTGAATAAATATCTAGTTATAAAGTCCCACAGTTGTAGGTAAAATGTATACGTTGATGTCTTTACTTTAATTGCATGCAATCCATAAACAATTCTTAGATTATAAGGTTACCAGCTGAAACATATTCAGGAACAAATCTGATTGGCTGCTTTATCGTGGATATTCTGTTAGGGCTCAGTCACACATTCAGGATTTTTACTGCCGTCCTTGATAGGACCATTCCCGATTAAAATTTGTCGTAAGTCTGATCAAGATCCGACAGAGATCAGACAGTGACCGGACAGTGAACAATTCATGCCCGTTCATCACGACAGCGTCCCGATCCACAGGACACCGTCCAGACAACACAAGAAATTGTTACGATTTTGATCCGATACAGCAGAATCTGTCACGACAGAGTCACGATTGTAATCCGACTTGACAAAAACGTCTGAGTTTCCCGAATGTTAAGGGACGCACCATACTGTCGGGAGTGCTTGGCCGACCTCTCTGGACCTTTCCCGATCCGTAGGACTCGGTTACGAACGTACACGACTGCGTTCCTGCAATGGTAGGCCATTCCAGATCATTGAGGATAGTAATCCGACTTTTTCACTTTTCGTGTCGTAGCGCCGTCTGATCTCAAACGGGAGCCATAATCGGCACTGTGTGAACCTGGCCTTAGAAAGGTTCATTTTTGTCTCCTGTCATCAAGCAGTTTGATATTAGTTTGTACATACAATTTATGGTGATATGTATCCTTAGATGTCCCACGTATAGTCCTTGATGCATCAAGTAACGTTTTTTTCTAGCATCGTTCTCCGATTGATTGTAAACTTTCCCAATTTATAGCTACTCCTTAATCAAATAACGGTAATATAAAATATTTATATATAGAGTGCAGCTTTCCTTGGGAAACGGTATTTAAACTTCCCATAAAATTCTCATACAATTAATCAATGGGCTTAATGTTTGAGCATGCCACTTAGCATCATTTTGAAACCTTAACTCTCAATGTGTATATACGTCTCAATTTTCACCTGCATGGATAAGTGTATTTCCCGTATACGTTACGGTTTTGACTGAACCGTAAGTGTTGTTTCACTTTTAGCTTTCCTTCCACATTAAGCTGACACTCAATGGTACAACTACTATATTGCACAGCGCAGCGTTAAATCTAACTTAATCACTTTATTGCGTTCGTCAATTCGAGGGCTGGTCAAAATGTTCTAAGCCTGACCAACTTCCAACTATGGGCTATAACAAATTTAACTTGTCAATGTAGTACATTGTTTTAGTAGTTCATTGCAAGCGTATTTGGTCTTTTGAGGTCGTTTTTATATTAGTGACAGTCAATCGAACGTGATAGGGGTCCAAGTGGACACAGAAATGGAAAAGAACGAGTACCGAGCAGTCGTCAAGTTTTTTTACTTTAGAGAAAAGTACTCCCCAACAAATTCATGTCACACGTGTATGGGAATAAGTGCTATTCCACTGTTATACGTTGGGCAGCTATGTTTATGGCTGGGAGAACAGGCCTTTATGATGACCCTAAGTCTGAACGTCCCTCAACTTTCATCATTGAAGGTTCAATCAAGGAGATGGAAAAACTTATACTGTCAGATAGACGTATTACCATTGCTGAACTTGAGGACGACATAGGTCTGAGTCATAGATCCATTGAAAATGTTGTTCATGAACCTTTACAGATGAATAAGATATCTGCTCGTTGGGTGCCAAAGTTTCTAAATTCTGATTCTTAAGAACTGACATTGCCAGAGAAAATTTAATTCAAAGAATAGCGGAGATGAATGCTGGCTGCTGGAGTTCTATTATTTCATGACAATGCCTCTTCTCACACCTCTCAACTTGCAAAGACTTCTGTGCGACCATGTGGGTTCGAAGAGCTCCCTCATCTTCCATACTCGCCAGACCTGGCACCAAGTGATTTCCACGTGTTTCCTGAACTGAAAGAACGTCTTCATGGAAAACGCTATGACGACAACGATGACCTTAGAACTGCCGTGATATGGGTTTTTCAGGGTGGCTTCAGAAAAACTTTTTTTCTGACTTGAATTGAAACGCTTCACTATCGGTATGAGAATTTTATTAAAAAGCATGGAGATAATGTTGAAAAATTAAATTAAAACACTTTCACAATTGTTGGTTTTGTTTGTTAGGCTTAGAACTGTTTGAACAGCCCTCGTATATCCACATGTAAAGACTGCCATCTTAATTATAAAAATACCATCATGGTGTTTGGGAGATGTTTATATTTCATTTTATATATGTTTATATTTACATTTGGTTATTAAATCATATAACAACTGGACCCTTTGTTACACAGCGTTTGTCTTGGCTGACATTAACAGTAAAGAAACAAAACTTGGTCTGCTTTTGTAGTAAAGCACAAGGGCGGTTGAGTCCCACTCTCTACAAACATGTCCTTAAGAAGGCCTTCATAACTGTAGCAATATTTCAATACCAACATATATTCAGGGCACAGAATAAATAATTCCGTCCACAACCATTTTTCGATGTTAAGTGGAGATGAGGTGTCGTTTCTATGCCTAAAGTACTTGAATGTGGACGCTAGATCGAAAACCGTAGCATAGAAGCGTATATTAAAAACAACATGGTGGCCCAAATGAAACCACTACCAGTTTTTGTTTTCGATCCCGAACACTTAATCAAAGTTCACGTTTGATAAAATAACGTGTACGTATTTCGAGGTACTGTAAATCTTGAAATTAACGGGAGCGTGAATTAAATGCGAAAACTGCGAGTTGTCTTTATTCGCATTAATGAAACTTCGCATTTATGTCTCCAAAATGACTATCAACAATAAGGCGGCCACACTGCACTCTTTGGATAGCGGAAATACCAACTTGAACCACAAACACGGTTTATTTAGCAGCAGTTGTAACAAGTATATATAACAAGTAAGCGATTATTAAGTAAGGGTAGATAAATAAAATGATCTTTTGAAACTATTGTAGTAGCCAGTCGGATAAGGAATCCCACAGTGCATATTTACAGACGTTCCTAAGAAGCCGACAACCAAGCAGTGACATAAATAACAGCTGACTAACGATCAGCGAATGAAGGTATACGGTAGCAGCGACTCACCCGTTTCTCGGTGTGTCCCTGGTAGGGAACCCCGGATGCCATTTGCCTCAAACAATGTATGTTTTTTTAAAGAGGCGACTGAAATGATCGGGACCAGGTTCATCGAGTGGGAGTGGACATCGCTAATAATATCAGTCACTGGTTTGTCTGGTCCAGAATCGACACTCACAGGCCGCCGTCATATAATTGGGATACAAGGCTAAGTGTAGCTTTAAACACACAACCAACCAACAAATCTCTTTAAATTCTTTTCACCCGTAATAGTAAATGATTATTAATTTACACATACATCCGTTAGACCAAATTAACTAAGAAATGACAGAGAACTTGTCTTTTCTACAGCTCGCTATGACGCCTTTGCAACAAACGATCCTGGGTATAACCTGTGCTTTCGTCTTGCCGTCACTGCTACTTCCTGAAGTCAGGGCGCAAAGTTTATTTGTGCGCATCTCAGATGCCGACAGAGCATTCACTTCCGGGAACGTCCTACGGACACTGGCGACATCTAGTGCCGTTGAGTGTGGCGTTGAATGTGGCAGGTTAGACACGTGTGTCTCCTTCAACAGTCGACTGGAGGGAGATGCTACAGTCACGTGTGACCTCCTCTCCGACATCCCGCTGTCCCCCATGAAGAACCTGGCTGCTGCCGCAGGGACGGGATACTATGAACAGGTGGGAGATCGTGACTGAGCGTGGGTTAACGCCAGTTTCAACAGTATTTCAGTTATATCAAGGCCTGTATGCTTGATTGTGTCTAGGCGGACCCAGACGGTGTGTGTGTTTGTGTGTGCGTGTGCGTGTGCGTGCGTGTGCGTGCGTGCGCGTGTGTGTGTGTATACGTGTGTGTGTGTACGTGTGTGTGCGTGCGTGCGTGCGTGCGTGCGTGCGTGTGTGCGTGCGTGCGTGCGCGCGCGCGTGTGTGTGTGTTTTCCAGGGGGTCCGGACATAAATGTAAACATGAAAATATGTAAACAATTACAAGTAGAGAGAAAAATTGCAGGCAATATATAAACCATTCACAAGTCAATAATTGGTAATTTATGTTCTACACTCACATTGACCGTTGACAGAACTGTTCACTGCTTTCAAAAATATGTTTTTTTCAAAAGCGTCAGTCCAGCTACGGCGTCTCCAAAACGTGCGCATATTCCGATAGAATTCCACGGCAGCCATATTAAAAATATCATTTTGTTTCGTCATGGAACCATTTCCTCGCGTATCAATGTGTACTAATTCAACATAAAGAGAGTCGTGTACATGTTTGTTGTCTTGAAATGGGGATCACCTTTGTGCATTTTTATACATGTAATCCTTTTGTGACCCTGACATTCATGTAGCCCTTAAACCTAGTGTTAACGCAGTTTTCACATCTCCTCTAAAATACAGTGTGGATTGAGGTGAAGGTTTGTCTGTGGGGCTCAATCAAGTCGGAACGGCGTTTCCAACCAAATTTAAGCATGGTCTACATGGCAGCCCTTTGATAAATGTGTGATGCATCCCTGTGCAGAGACGAGTCCTTTGGGCCTGAAATCTATGACCCTGGGTTCGGATCCCAGTTCGCCCCGATTTGGTTTCTAGGTTCGTCAGCACCATACTCGCGGGTTTTACCTAAATGGCAAACGTCTAAGACTTGCATCAGCTCGATGACTTCGGGCTTTTCTTCCACATTAAGCTGACACGCCGTGATATAACTGGCATACTGTTCAAATGACTCACTCCTATTTTAGTGCCTTTATACGACCGTTTTGATCTCACCCCAAAAATATTTGATCTTGAATGTTTCAAATATGCAATAACAATCAGGTCAACTACAGATTGCCGTGGCTGTTTTTCAGACATGTCAACCCCTCTTCAGCCTAACAACAGCTGTAGAGTTCGATGAGGGTGGTGTCAATGTTGCCGGCTTCGTGTACGTGACGAGTAACCACGGCGTCGACGTGATGCTCGTCAACATGTCCACTACCAATGATGTACTAGCTGTGTCCCGGGTGGCTTCGGTCGCCCAGAAGAGCGGTGGGAAGTTTACACAGATACATGGCATGACAAAAGTTCACATGGGGAACGGCACCTCCATTGAAGTCTTCATGACAGGTACCCCAACTTGATATGTGATGCATACATCATAGCATCTTTTTATAAACCTTCTGCCACTTTTGCCTACTTGCACCTATCTTTTTATCACGTAATTACCTCTTGGGAGGTTTTACTTTTTCCAAGTACATTGTGTAAGACCTCATTCCGGGTGGGAGGTTTTACTTTTTCCAAGTACATTGTGTAAGACCTCATTCCGGGTGGGAGGTTTTACTTTTTCCAAGTACATTGTGTAAGACCTCATCCCGGGTGGGAGGTTTTACTTTTTCCAAGTAAGACCTGATGGTTTGAGTAGCAGATGGAATTTGGACTTGTGTTTTAAACGTCTAATGTTCGAAAATCGAAGACAAGATATGAATTCTTTTGTTGTAATGAATGACGGTAATCGAACCTGCAACCTCACATATCGTGTTAAGTTTAGTAACGCACTGTTTTCACACAGAGCCAGCGGGGTAGGTGGTGAAAGAACGTTCAATTTTAGATGTCATGACTTAGTTTTGACTATGCTGCACGTGTTTCTTCTCTCGCATGCTTTGATCACATTCCATTCATACAGTGACACAGTGTTTTGTTTCACTATAAGACATCTCGATGTTTTCTTATCTTTTATGTTTTTTCTTGCATTTAGACGGTTTATAAGTGAGATAAAGCACTACTCGGTTATGGTCGAGGAAGTAAGACCTCGACAACAGGTACCGGCATTGTTAGATTCGCTCCGAGGTCTTACAATGCCGATACCCTCTTGCCTCGGTCGTACTTCTTCGACCATAACCTCGGAGTCGTGCTTTATCCTTCACATATATGCTAATTCACAACCATAAACTCGCCAACCAAAGACGTAAAACAAAGTGTCCCCAATTCCCACTGTTAGGTTCTATGGCGAGAGCGATCACCGTGCTTGATCAGGCAAATGCCCTACAGTTGAGTCGACTTCAGCCCCGTGTACACTGCCACCTACCCCGGATCTCTAACTTGAAGGTCGTCAACGAGCACAGTCTAATCCCAACATGAGGCTTACCTTATCGTGTTATTTGAGGTTTGACACACACAGGTCCCAAATGATAGTTATAACATTGGTGTCCTGGAAAGACATGGAATTCCAGTGTGAGCTATCTTAGTCACGTGTTCCTGTAGGTTATCCAGCCTCTGAGTATCGCTCGATGGATTCCTTTAAATTACTGCAATATAACTGAAAAGGTCAATCGATTCCTACGTGTTCTCTGGTACAATATGCTTGCAACCATGATAGCATTACATGCGGTTGTACGTGCCAGTCTTGTATGCATTCATTTACACTGTTGTTAAATGTTGATACGGTAAGCGCGAGTTGGATTTGTCAGTTATATCTATAAGTGTATGTTAATCAAGGCTACGTATCTACAGGGTCTGATGTCTGGTGCACTCTTGAAGGATACGGCCTGCCGTCACAGCCGTGTTTTGCATCAAACCCAATGCCTATGATCACCATTTTTGGCACCGATGGCATCTCGGCGTTGTTAGAAACCAAGACCCATGTCGGAATGATGGCGTTCAGCTACTCTAAGGTCATCATCATGGACATCTTGTCACCCGGAAATTGGGTCGTCAACACGACCATAGATCTGTCTCCTGGCAACCAGCCGCCCGGATGGATGGACATACCTCGAGGATTGGTTGGTTCCGCTTGGCTCGTCAGGCAAGACTCCACAGGGCTTGACATCTATGACACGGCGTTCCTGGTGACACAACACTACTACGTCGTGTACGACTTCCCCAACGATGTGATACTGAAGAGGGGCCACCTGTGTCCTTCAGACTGAGAAAGTACTGTCGTAAATGTTAGAAAAATTATTGTTTTGCCCTTTAAACAAATTACTAAATAATCATAGCAGTTAACAATGAAGTCCATATTTGAAATATCGAATAACTACCGGTTGACCTACCTTGGGTTTATTTAATTGTGAACTTTCCGCTGTTTCACAGGAGAACGTTTCGCAATACAAAAAGAAAGGTTGAAAGACCTAAATCTAAATTGGACTATAGAAATATGCAAATGTACCCTCTTTTTAGTAATGTGAATTATTTATTTACAAAACAAGTCTATGCTATAAAATAATAGGTGTTGGTAGTAGAAAATAACAAAGAAAGTATACACCCATGTTTGATGGTGAATAAAAAATGAAACAAAGGTGAAATGGTTATTCAATGGTGACGTATTTGATACGTGACATATTACATGCATCATATCAGTATCTGACAACACGTGACGTGCACGTGACGTATCAAGGGACATGAGGATCCCAATGTTACAGTACACAGTAATAAACAGACTGATGCAGGTTTTGTCATGATCAGTGTGAGTTGGTTCACAGATAATAGACATTCTCAACAGGGAATATGACAACCATGCACCAATACACGCCCAGAGTCGCCGTCGGGGCGGTCGGGTAGCCTAGTGGTTAAAGCGTTCGCTCGTCACGCCGAAGACCCGGGTTCGATTCCCGACATGGGTACAATGTGTGAAGCCCATTTCTGGTGTCCCCCGCCGTGATATTGCTGGAATATTGCTAAAAGCGGCGTAAAACCATACTCAGTCAGTCAGAGTCGCCGTCCCATCGATGTCGTCAGCCGCCTGATGACGTTTTTGGGAATCCGTTATTACTCGTCCCTCAGTGCGTGTTCCAGCCGTTGACTGTTTTGTGGTGGGTGAGGACGCCTCCTCATCCCACAAGTGCTCAATGGAGTTTAGGTCTGGTGAGCGAGATGGCCATGTAAGAACGGCGACGTTGTGCGCAGCCATGAGGTCCTGGACGACCCTTGCAGTGAGCGGCCTAGCATTCTCATGCTGTAAGGGCGTTCCCTGTTTTCTTTGGCGAAGGAATGGTAAAGCCACGGGTTGAAGAACGTCATCCCTGTAGGTCTGGTCGTTGAGGATGCCACAGATAATGTTTCCTCCCCAAACCTGCTGCGCATATGCAAAGTGCGCAAGTATCGGCGTCATCACGCGTGGTCTGCCAGATCTCGCTCTGTCCTGCGTGTCTGTAACGTTCAAACTGTCTGACGATGGTTGGAAAGTTTCTTGCAATCTGGGTGTGGTTGGTAATCATTTGCTTCACTCCTCTCTCCCTGTTGTTCGAGTTAAACAAGGCAAAGACATGTATTTTGTGTTTTTATATTACCTGTGATGTTTTCGCAACGATCCATCGCGTTTTATACCAATTGTGCACGGACACATCAAAAGAAAATGTTTAGCGATGCCCACTGTTGCACGTGCATCTTCCAACCAACGGGTTGCGGTCTTGTCCTTATGTCTACAGTTTTTCGGCCACTGGTTTCAGCCAAATGGGTTTTGATAAAGTTTGTAATTTTTTGGTCAAATCCAATTTTCAAGGGTATGCTTTCTTTTTGCCCGGCAGTTTATGTTTCGTCACCACCGCTCGCTCTCATCCTGCGTCATGACACGTACATAGATTTGGGTTGTACATATGTTGGACCCAGCAATAGCTTCTCTTTGTATGAATATTTATAGAGCTTTGGAATCCAGCACCAAAGAGGATTGTTGGTTTGTTGGTTTGTTGTTTTGTTGTTTAACGCCGCACTCAGCAATATTCCAGCTATGTGACGGCGGTCTGTAAATAATCGAGTCTGGACCAGACAATCCAGTGATCAATATCATGAGCATGGATCCACGCAATTGGGATCGATGACATGGATCAACCAAGTCAGCGAGCCTGACCACCCGATCCCGTTAGTCGCCTTTTACGACAAGCAAAGTCGCCTTTTACGGCATGCATGGGTTGCTGAAGACCTATTCTACCCCGGAATCTTCACGGGTCCAAAAAAGAGGAATGGACATGTCTTCAGGTTGATGAGTCCAGACAAAAGGTGATAGTACAGAAGCGTGGTTTGAGCGGATGTCTTCCTCGGCCAATATACTGGCTTTATATGTGGCATTATTTGATATGTCACTTATACCAAGCTCATTGATCAATCATTAAAACACATCTGTGACGTCATTATATTGTTTGAACGCTCCATTATTTTTCAGGAATGGAGAGTTGCTTGTCAACTGTACATTATCTTGATTTCAGCATTTGAATTTTTCAAATATTTTCAACTACAGAATATTTTGTCAAAGTGTAAAAGAAGAGATGAGTTTTAGGTAGGGGAATATCCTCGTAACTCTCCATTCCTTAAAAATAATGGGCCTCGGCCCCTGTGGGGCCTCTGCTCCATTATTTTTAAGGAATGGAGAGTTACTCGGACATTCCCCTCTACATATTAACAATAGTTGTCAGTGGGATCAACTACAAGCGTTCATGTAGGGCAGCCAGACTTTGGATGACAGCTGGCTGGGACAGAATGAGTTTCTTCCAATTCTAGTTCCTCTTTCTAAATTTGTGCAAAAGTTTTAGTTTTTAAAAATAAAAGTATCAGCTGTCAAGTCTTTGAAAGGCATTTAGATACACGTAAGAAAGAGAATTTATGGATGTCAACTTCTATTATTATGAGGAATACACCGTTTCAGAGTACATGCTTCATCAGTATCAGACGTGTTAGTATTAATGTGAAATGGATTTTATTTCATATATTTTGTCATATTTCATATCTAAGTGTATAGGTAAGGATATTATGTGTCACAAAGGCTTATTTTCATAGATGTAGGTACACGCAGCACTTAAATACGTACAAACTTGTTGGGCTGTAAACCGAGGATCGAGTCCTGACTTTGGTACAATATTTGAGGCTCTATCTTGGTCTACCCTAGTTGGTGAAGCCCTATAAGTACGGGCATATATGGTGCTGACAAACATTACTTAATCATGGTGAATCTGGGATTCAAACCCTCAATCATTGTGTTCTGGAACCCAATCCGACTTAAGGTACTGGGCCACCTATGCCACCCTATAAAAGTCGCATTGTGATAGAACGATATAAAGAGTGAACGATATAAAGACCGCAGTCAGCGGTGTTCAGCCTGACCACGGAGGCCTGAACATGGTCGAGTCTTGGTCAAGCAAACCACTAGCAGATAGCACGCGCAACGATCCAGGCTGTCGTGTGTGTGAGTGAATGAGTATGGTTTTACGCCGCTTTTAGCAATATTCCAGCAATATCACGGCGGGGGGCGCCAGAAATGGGCTTCACACATTGTACACATGTCTGGAATCGAACCTGGGTCTTCGGTGTGAACGAGCGAATGCTTTAACCACTAGGCTACCCGACCACCCCTGTCGGAGGAAGATGACACAAATACCGATACATTGTATATTGTTGCCACCATATCCTAATTGTCGTAGTGCCTTACGCTTCATATGGGCTAAAGGATTGATTGTGATCGCACCCCCTGGAACGACCATTCTATTTATATTAGGAAATGTATGAGTGCAGTTCACAATTCAGTGTAGGATTTTAAGCAATCAAATTAAATACATTTCGAGAAACATTCCCAGTCTCCCGAATATTATAATGATGCAATGTTTATATCTTCGAACAGATTCCTTTGTCAAAGGAATCTTACATCGCACTTCATTTATAAATCCTGTGTGTAGAATATGTCGAGTTGACCGCTTTGTTACTTCAGTGGTTTTGATGGCGAAGGTACTGATTACTTTAAGAGTTAACATAATTAGGACGATTAGAGCTGTTAATCATTAACTTGATCTGTAAATACCCGAAAAGTTTATTTAGTGGGATATTTTGAAGACCTGTTAACAAAGTCTAATTTATAAATACTAAGAATGCGCTATAGCACACTGCCATCCATTTTACGAGAGCTTTAAAAGTAGAAGCAATTGCATTCAACGGATTCTCAGTTCACATGCCAAAATTTACACACTTGAACATCTTTATATATGGAGTACATTTGGACCTATAACCAAAGGCAAAACTACTTCGCGTTATCGAAAAAAGCGCACCGTGGGCAAATATATTTGATGATGTAATACCCCGTTCACATGCACACCATTTACACACATGTAATTTTGCACATGTGTAAACTATACACACATATGTTTATGTAAATTTACTATGCGTTCACATGAAACTTAATAAATGTGTGTGAATGAAGTATGTAAATGATGTGAGGCACACATAGTCATCAGTCTTTTCACGACGTTCAACATGAAAAGGCTGTTTTCCAAAAAAGTCAATTGAGAAGAGAGTTACAGAAATCTTCACATGAAGCAACATGTGTTTGATTTCATCTGCACATAAATGCCATGAAACCCTAAAGGAAACACTGTCCACCCAGCTCTGAACGTCCGCTAAAAACTCGGTATTCCTGTGTACTGAACGAGCGTCAGCTTCAGAATACACATGTGTGGCCGATGTGCTCCAAGATGACAGGTACACGCTGTGAAGAGAAGGCGAGATTTACTTATATTTCCATGCACAGGTTAAGCCCTAGGTCTTACCTAGGAGAGAAAAGTGTTGGTGAAAAAAGGTCCAGAGCCAAGTGGAATGATATTGCAAAAGGAAAGTTTACAATCAAAGATTGGGTGAACAAATTTCGGATGACATTTTACTACCTTTGTCAATGAGTCTGGACCAGTTAGGGAACGTTTGGACATTGACTATAAAGTAGCTGTAGCAGTCTACTGCCTTGCATCCTCTGCAGAGTTCAGGACAGTTGCAAATCTCTTTGGAGTGGGGAAATGAAGTGTTTGGAAGTGCCTGAGAGACGTCTTTGAAGCACGTGTTGACACAATGATGTTAAACGATGTCAAATTTCCATAGAAGGATGATCTGAAAGCAATACTGGATGTCTTTTAATCTGTTTGTGGATTACCGAACTGTGGTGTAGCCCTAGACGGGACACACATCCCCATAATAGACCCACGGAGATTATCTTCGTAGGAAAGTGTTCAATGATCATCCTACAAGCGATATGTGACCACAAGTACATCTTCACTGACATCAACATTGGCTGGCTTTGGAGAGTACATGACGCCAGGGTCTTTGGAAATTCAAAAGTTTTTCATACAGGCGAAAACAGTTACGTACTTCCCCTAGTAAATTATTGTACCAATTACCCTGGTTGCTGATGCTGTAGAAGGGGAAGATCAACCAGAGAATGAAAATTGAAGTCGTTTCAGTATGTTAAGCAGAAATTTTCAAAACATCATTGTTAAACATATTGTTCAAGTTTTCGACCCAAAGATGTGGATTTCACAACAGAGTGG